TCAAAAAAAAAAAAAAAGTACAGGTGAGAAACTCTGCAGGAACCTGATACTGAGCAAAGCAGGTGTTTAGACATGGAAAAGAGGAAGCACCCGGCGGCGCCTTCTAGGGCCCTGGGCGATCACCACACAGACGATGCCAGGAACAAAGCACGCTGGATGTGCTGACATGTTGATTCTTGCCTTCTCACCTTCCCTCAGCTATGTTCTAATAGCATAATTACAATGCCACCTGGAAATTGCCATTTTTCTCTCTTCCTGAAAAATGCCAAGTGATTCCCACACCTACTCTCATTTAATCTTGCACTATTCTGCATCATTCTGCTGCAGCAGCTCTGTTTGGATTTACAGATGAGATCTGCAACTCCACACAGGGAATGTGGAAAACAAGAGAGATACAACTTGGGGAAGAGGGGAAGAATACCCGTCAGCTGCGTGGGCTCATGAGGAATGTGAGTTGGACTGAGGCAGTGGCACCTCTGTCCCTCAAGCCCTCTGAGACAAAATGAGCTCCAGGGAGAAGATGAGAAGTCTGATCCAGAGAAAAGTATGCAATGAGTTAAGTTTGTCTCTGACACCCCAAGTCTTCTCCTTCCTTCTGTGGCACTGGTACCCTCCGCCCCTCAGTCAGTCAGTGCTCTAGTGGCCCCGACCTCCTCCAAATCCAGCTCTTAGTTGCTGCTCTCAGCCCACTGGTGGTGAATCTAAACGGCTGTGTTCTCACTCCCAGAGCTTCTAATATTTAAGGTCTCATCTTTCCCTATGGAAAGAAGGCTTTAATCCCATAAAGGGAATGCTGGTAAATGGGGAGTTATCGAAGGGACAGGGGTGGGGAAGGCTCCCACTGTATGTCTGTCAGAGAGTCTATGCTTCCATTCATTGAGCACCTATGATGTGCTATGGACTGTATTGAGAATTCTGTGTTTACTAGCTAATTAAATTCTCAATAATCCTGCTAGCAAATCGTTATCATTCCCATTTTGCAGAGGAGGAAACAAAGGTCCTAGAAGTTAACTCACTTCTAGCGCAAGGTCACAGAATCAATTAGTGGCTACTTATTGTTGTAACCTGTAACCAATATGTCTGAAAACATAAGAGAACGTTACAAATTGTCCCAGAGGTGAAACAGTGAAGTGTACCACCCATGAGAAACAAAGTCAAATGAGAAATATATCCATTTTCCAACTGGGCAGTGGCTACATACTGAGTACCTTCCAATCAGTATTCCATTATCTGTGTGACATAACTTTACTCATATTAGACTGAAATGCCTGATACTATAGCCCCTCTCCCTCCTCTGTACACTATGTTGGAAACATCCTTGTTCCCCAGGTACCTTAGAACCTGATTCAGTGGATGTCTCACCAGCAAATTTCTTAACTTCTATCCAGTTGGAGACTCTGAATTGAATTGTCTTCACTGAGGGACTAGTGATAAAATGCAACTGCCCTCCTACCAAAGGGTAACAACTATACCTCCAAGGGATGGATGCCAACGGGAGGATCCTTAAATATCTAAAAGCAAATCATAGCTCAAAAGGTTTGTGGTAATATAGCCCACATTCAGCTATTTTCTTAGGAAGGACAGACAAATGTACCTTTTGATTGGCCAGATGATAACATGCATTGAAAACAAACAACAACAACAAAAAATCAAGACTGAAATATTGAGGACAAGCACATCCTTAAGAGGTATTTATTGAGTACCTACTATGTGCCAGGTATTCCACACACATTATTACCAATCCTCACCATAGCCTTCCCTGGTATATATTATCATTTCTACCTAAAGCTAGGAAAAGAGAGAGAGGTTAAGAGACTTTCCCATCATGTGAAATAGCTACTAAATGGCATATTCAAGATTTGAATTCATGTCTGTCTAGTTCCCATACTTGAGCTTCTTCCATTGAACCATGTTGCTATAATTTTATCATAATTCATCTCTTTTCTGCCATAACTATAATTATTTTAGAGTACCTCTCTAATCTACTCTAAGGAGAAATTGTAAGTACAAATAAAAAACAGCTATTGTTGGTTCTGGAAGAAATTGCCACTTAACATTTCAATAATATTTAATATTCAGATTTGTTAGAAATATGGGAGGTAGGGAAGAGCACTGCTCAGGCTTTGTCCACACGAGAGCCCAGAATTCTCTGATACATACTCCTTCCCCATTGCCGTGAACCCCGCTGGCATTTGCCCTCACAGCCCACCATTTTTCCCCAACAGCACATCAAGTCATGGATGCCACATGTGGCAGCTCTGTCTTACCTTGGGCTGGCTGGTGCTACATCTTCTTCCAGTTCTTCTACAACACCGGTTAGCTCTGGGGGGAGGAAAGTATCTTTGTTGACATTATCCACCCAGCTTTCCTTTGCCCCATTTGTTCTGTCCTTATTCTGCTCAGCTGAAACAGGAAACAGTAAAGACAGGAAGGTTATCTTTCACCTCGACCTATAACTCTCAAATCAGCTCTTATCACTGAAGGCTCCAATCTGAACTTCACACCTTCCCTGAGTGCCAAGACTCACTAATGAGTCTGAGAACTCAGGATCAGAATTATAACTGCAACAGAAGTCAGTAGATACCCATGATACTAGTTCCCCACAAGCAGAATCTCCTGAGAGCATGCTGTCCCTTTAAATGTGCAAGTAACTCCTTTAGGTGCTGCTGAGCTGGGGTCAAGACCAAATGCGTATGGCCAGGGGATGGCCAGGCAGGAGGCCCTCACTGGGCCAGAAGTACCATAATCACCAAGCATTAACCGAACGGCAGCAATGTGCCCCACGCGAGGCTGGGCTCTGGAATCCAAGGGGAACAAACGCTTCTAGTCTCTTCTGCCTCTTCCTCCTCCTGCCAAGCTGTACACATGCAAATTTCTACATACTCTTAATACCCAGCTGAGATGCCAGGGCTCACATAAAACCTCTATGCTCTCTCCTCAGGAAATAACCCCTTTTGTCTCTGAACACCCAGGGCTGTTTACCTGTACCTCTTGGATATTTAGCATCAACTGGCATCAACTGAGTGATGCTGAAGTGCCAGACACAGTGCTGAGTTCTTTGCATGCATTACCCTGTGAGGAGGAAGCTACTTTCCAAGTTTACAGAGATGGAAATTGAGGAGCAAAAAGTTCAAGAATTTATGTAAGGCCACCCAGCAAGTGCAAGGAATATATTGACCAGTATCAAGAAGATGAAGCCATACAAGCAAGGGCTCCCAATTTCCAAACACTCACATTCCCAGGTAGGGTTCCCCACAGGTCTCTTCACACATACGTCTAGTTGCTACAACTGCAAAATGGAGTCCCCAGTACTAACCTGTACCCCCTCAAGACTTCTGAAGGTCTGGGTGGTTTTGAAAATAAAGAGGGCTGTGAACAATGCATGATACATACTAAGCAGTCAGCCCTTATCTGCAGGAAGTGTACTCTGAATTTCTGCAAGACTGAAATCCCAGCTCTACCATTTGCCAACTATATGACCTTGGACAAGTTACTTTACTTCTCTGAAATTTATATACCCCATATATAGAATGGGGGATAATAATAACTACAAGATTGTTCCTACAGTTAGGAGTTCAAGAGAGTAAATACCTACCACATATTAGGTGCTCAAAAGATGACAGCTATTTTCCTTATTGAGTATAGGCTAGATATAGACAGGGGCTGTTCTTGCAGGTTGAAGGTTTACCTGACTAGTCCAGAGTTAGAGAGAAGACACCCAGTAAATATTTAATGAACTCAACAGCATTATAAAGATGCCCTCCAAACACATTACAGTCCCTTAAATGATGTACATGGTTGATTAAAGTAGTATCAGAAGTCAAGGTCATTGAAAGGGATACTAATTTGTTTCCTGTCACCCTTCTCAGGAGAGAAGGCTCTGAATCTTCAGATTTAAAAGGAAGTGGTACATCCCTTATAAGCCCCATTCTCTATGCTACTAGAACTCAAAAGAGGATCTAAAGTGCTTCCGATTATGTCCTTCTACACTGAGGACATAGCCCTGAGTCGCTTGACCCTGCCCTCAACCATCTGAATCCAGGGCAAGAAGATTCTGACTACACATTATGCAAAGCATAGCTCTACATGATTTCCCTCAGCAGACTTCAGCGATGATTCTGATACCCTTCCCTTCCCCTGACAACTCCTTCCCAAACAAATGCTGGCTCTCAACGTACTGGCCAAATCCACTCACCTGCGACCTGGAGCCTCTTCTTTCTCATGGACGCTCGGATGATATCTGTGCCGTGGATTCGGTCTCTGTGCCTTTTTGACTTGGCTTCGTAAAACCACTGGCCACTCATATTCTTCAGCTGCTGGTCATCCTTGATTTTTTCAGGCAAATGTCTACAAAAGGAAAAGAGCTCTGCTTTGCTGAGAACCCACAGTAAGTAGATGAGTTCGCTGAGACACTGCACAAAGAAATGTGTAAATATACAGCCAAATGAAGCACTCAGGATTTTTACAAGAGCCCACAGACCTCCCAGATGACTAACAAATGTACGCTCCGTTTGACTGAAAAGTCAGAGAAGCCAAGGCCAACATTTTTTTAGAATTCAAAGATTTAATCCATGATGCCAGGGTGACGCCTGAAATTTCTCAAGAGCAGACACACTTTTTGGCTATAGCCTTCCATGTGCACTGTTCAGATGCAAACACCCCAGGGAAAGATGACGTATTAAGCTTCCCTATGCCTTGGTTTACTTCTCTGTAAAAAGGGGTTAATAATAGTGACCTACCTCCTGGAGTTATGAGGATTAAATTAGCAAATGCATATAAGCTGCTCTCTGCACATGTTCAGTACCTAATAGACATTAAATCAGTAACTGCTGAGGTAGTTATCAGCTCATCCCTCCTTTACTTTTCAGTAAAATAAGTTTATCAGAGACTTCCCTGGAAGCTTGTAGGGAAGAGTGGGTGATGTCCCTGGTTCCTACTGTTAGGGAAATGAATGTTGAAAAGGCAGGTTGGAATCAGGGAAAATAAAGAAGAAATTTTTTTTTGGTGGTGGGGAGAAGAGGTAGAAGAAAATTCCATTTGTGCAGATACTGCTCTCAAGGGTTCCACAATCATTCATGCTCAATGAAAAGCTAAAACCTGAAGAACAAACCAACTACTGCCCTCCTGAAATCTTCCTGATTTACACCAGCTGGAAGAACGGTATTCTACTTGACAAGTCTTTTAACCTTCGCATCTCTCTGTTTATCTCAGGAACATGAGAATCACAAAATCTATTTCTGCTTATTCATAGTGATGTACTTAGAATAAAGTAGAGTAAGACTCTTCAGGAGACTTTGAACTCTTGGAAGATAATGTGCAAACATAAATCCAAGAGGGTTTTGATTATCATTCAAGCCAATATGCTACCTTTCAGATTCATTTTCTAGGGCTTATTCCCATGCCCCTACTTGCCAGCACACTAGATCTCTTACTGTTCTCCAAACCGCTTTTTCATGGCCTCTGTAAACATTCAAAACAGATGCCAGAAACTATGAGCTTTGGTATCTCCCCAAATTAGTCCAAATCCTAGTTCTGACCTTCCTAGATGTGACTGTGGGCAGGTTACTGATCCCCTCCAAGTTTCCATCTCCTTGTTTATAAAGAGAGGGGAAAATAAGACCCACTTGGCAGGACTTCTGAGATGATTAAACGTGCTATTTACCCAGAAGTATGTAATAGTGCCTGGATCTTGGCAAGAGGCATATAAATGTGAAGGTGCTCAGGACGTCTTTCCCCCACATCTCTGTCCAGCATATCGCTCCTCATCCTTCAGATCCACTCATGCATCACCTCACCAGGGAAGCCTTCCCTGCTAACTGAGGGCACTGTCCAGCTGGCCCTTCTCCACGACAGCACTGACCACGCTGTGTTCCAAAGATCTGTTTGCATATGGTTCTCACCCACTGATCTATGACCTCTGCAAACTCCTTGAAGGCAAGGACTACCTCTGAATCTCCTTTGTAATGCCAGCACCTAGCACAGAGCCTGGCACAGAGCTGAGGCCCAACAACTGTCTGTTGAGTGAGTAAATCAATGAACAAAGAAATGCTCAGCAGCCACCCAGACTGAGTCAGGCAAGAGACGGAGAGATCCTGTCTCTGGTGGGTTAAGTGAACCATGCTCCTCACAACGGCAGGGCCTGCTCCAGATGAGGCAAGGCATCTCATCTCTGGGCAGGATAGGACAAAACGTGACAAAATACGGCACCAGCTGTCACCTTGCTGAAAGAGGCCACAAACCCTCAGAGTGATACGACCTCAATTTCTCTTTGTGAGATTATTTGCTTATTTTTGTTCAACGAAAAGGCATTGCCTATGAGTCCTTGTGCACCTCTTGATCTGCTTCTGCCCAAATGATGTCTGCAAGCCTCTGATCTCCCTGAGCTTTCGGCACACTCCGTGGGAGTCAGGCTCACTGAAACTCCTGGCCCTGGAAAGGCCGGTGGCCACTGCAGGAAAGAACCAAGCTTGGATCTCTGGCTCATTTCTTTTAAAGTGGCAAAAGAACAGGAAATTCTTTCAAATTCAATTAAGTGCCATTTATGTACTTCCTAACAGGATAATCGCTGTTAGACTTAATCAATTTCTTTTTCCACCTTAGTCATTTGAATATTGTATAGATGAATCCATGTGTGTCCACATCAAAGCCCGAGTTCTGTAAAGATGTAGAACATTTTTAAAAATTCTACTGTCTAGGTGGCGTTAAAATCTTCTATGCCAGCCCACGTTAATCTCTCACTTTTCCTGAACTCTAATCATACTAACCAAATTAGCATTTCATTCTCTAATCGCTGTGCCACTTCGATAAAGTGAGAAAAGGTAAAGTTTCTTGGGGCTCCCACTTTTTGTCCCTTGTCATCCTCTACACATATGCATGTTGCGTTTAGTGAGAGCTGAGGATAGAGAAGATGCTCAATGAATACCCAGAAGCTGGCCAGCAGAAGTGAAGGCAGAGCAAGAGCCCTTAGCCCAAAGAGGACACTGTCCTGCTGGCTGTCCAGGCAGAACACACAGTCATGACCCAATTCTCTCAACTAATACATACAAAGTACGTATTTTGTATAGGGCCCCATGCGTGGCACTTAACATGCATCTCCTTATTTAATTGTAACGATTTCGCCATGGTGTACAAGGAATTTAGTCAGTTGTAAAGATAGCCACCTTATCTCTCTGCATGCTAAAGGACATATCTGTTCATTTGTTCATTCACTAATTCATTAACCTCCTATCAAACACCAGCCATATATGGTTGGAATTGTGCATAAAAAATTCAGTCTACAGACATATTTGCCAATGTCAAGTCCTGGAGTGCAGAGAGTGAGGACTCACAGAGAGCGAAACCCTCCTGCCTGGCTTTGACACTTGCCCCTCAGCCTACCCCCTTTGCCTCCTTGCGCCTGCACAGCACACCCCAGCTTCCCGCTAGTCATGAGGATTAGGCAAAGGCCTATCATCATAAGCAGGACCTGGTTGATATTATCTAGTCAACTGCAGATCAGAAGAATCTGCAGGCTGGCCAAAGAGGCTCATTGGTCCATCCTTCAGTATTTTTTTTTTCTTTTTTTACCCCCTCGGTATATTCTGGGCAAGATGGTTAGACTATGTGATTTGAAAGACTATGTGATTCTTAGATTTTTGTTTGGAATAGGAGAGCTGGAGTGCACCTGACTCAATTACAAATGGCCTTGCTTTATAGATGAAACAATTGAGGCCCAGAGAAGTGGTTTGCCCAAGGTCACACAGCTGGGCCCAGAAGCCCGCCTGACTCCTAGCCAACACTCTTCCCATTACCCAATCCTACCTCAGATACTCAAACATGATTTTTGTTTCTAAGATGGCTATCATATTTGCTCATTCTATGAAGGAATTCAATGTTTGTTAGGGAATCTGACAACCAACACATGTGAAAATGAAATAAACTACAGATGTTCCTCATAGCAGACAATGAAAGGAAATGTGTGTCCCTTGCATCCTGGACACATCAGAGAGCCCCACTATCTGCTGAGAGGCATCACAGCATGTGAGAAGCATGGGATTTGTAGTCTGACAAACAAGGCTGCAATCCTGCAGAGTACTTAGCCTCTTCTACCCCATTGCCTCAAGAGCAGTGGGTTTAGCTACACGGTTATGTGGATGAAAGGAGAAAATGTATTTGAAGCTCTTTGTACAATGTAGTTCCTGGACAAATGTTGGTTCCCTTCCCCTCTGCTTAGACAGAAAACACCACCAGAGGTCCTGGAAAGCAGTTCTTCAATGACAACTGCCTTCATTTAAATGAAACTAGGTCTTAAGGCGGCAGCTGAGAATCATAAGATGTGGTTGTGGTTAACATGGTATCTACTGCAAGAGCATCCATCTCTGTAGATGTGGTTGTGTGCGTAGGTGGTGGGGCTGGTGGTTCACAGACATCCATGGGCATGATTTCCTGCTGGCAGCATGACACAAAGCACAGGAAACACCAGCTCTGGAGTGTGTCATTTGCAAACCATAAAAGACTAAAATTGCACATGTGTGTGTATTCTGGGTTTCTTAAAAAGAGAGGGGGTAGGGGACGGTGGAAGGGAGGAAGGACGGGAGGGAGCAAGGGGCAAAGAGAAAAAGAATCCGTTCTGATGTCTGCTTCACTGCTGGGTTGAGAAATGTCTGCAGCTGGTAGTTGGGGAAGCTGGGCAGAGATACATGGTGATACCTGGGCCCAGCACCTGTAGCTACAGGTAGAGCGACAGCATGAGAGACAGTTGTGGGGGCAGCAGGGACCTGGAACTATTCTCTTCCAACTGTACCCCCAGAGAAAGCACAGTGGATGTGCCCTTGGGTTCCAGTTCATGTTCTCCCATTAATGGGTTGAGTGATTTGGGAACCAGACACTTCTGAATGGCGCTCATCTTTCTCATTCATGCAATCAGGATGGGAAGTAATTTATAGACTAAATCATCTTCAAAGTGTCTTGAATGAACTTGGATGTAAACAATTCAAAGCACTGGATGTATCAGGACTGGCAAACTTATTTCCATTTGAATTCCAATCTCATCTACAGCTGACGCTGAAGAAGATTCTGAAGTGTCTGGTTTTAGTGAGCAACAGTGCTACAGCCCTGAGTGATGTCCTCGTGCAAAGTCCAGAATGAATCAGCGTTGGAATGAACAGTCTGAATTTGGGTGGCAGGGAGCCTTTCGAATGTTTTGCCTCAGCCAATATTAGAATCATATACTTTAGGTTTCTAAAGCTACATACTAACTAGAAGGAAGGAAGGCATTATGAAGTCATGTTAGGGAAACAAGGTTGAGATTTTAAATTTGCAATTGATAATCCATTCAGTGGATAAAGGCAAATTCCCTGAGAGCTGGGACCTTGTTTCAATTATGCTACAATTCCCTTTCTATCAACGCCCCTATGAGAAGTTCCCTATGCTTAATCGGTGCTCAATTAAATTTCTCTGCATTAAACAATTGAGAGTTTTAGGAGTGATTCTTTCTCAGGAATCAGACTACTAACCAGAGAATTCTATCGTTTTTTAGAGGCATAGGTAGAGTAGTAAACATAGGAATTAAAATGTTTCAATCACCTACTATGTGCTTAAGAAGATTAAGAATTATTTTACTTAATTTGAACTTAAATACCTTTGGTATTATGGTCATTCCCAGTCTCTAAGCCTCAGCTCAGAGAGGTTAAGTAACTGGCCCAATGAACCACAGTTAATTAGTGGTGAGGATAGGATTCAAATTTGTGACGGTTTTGACTCTAAGGTCCATGCAGGGTAGAACTGTCCCTGTTACGATAGAACCTTTACTTTCTTCTGTAGAAACAATACCAGTGAGCAGCATGGGGCAGAGGCAAAAGCACCGGACCACAAGCGTCTCATCACAGCTTTGGCACTGACTAGCTGTGTGACCCTGGGCAAATCACTTCCCCTCTCTGGACCTTTCCTTCTTTACCTCCTTTTTGGAAATGACCAAAAAATCTCCTTTTCAGAGCTATCAGGCTACAACTCTGATGGAAGAGCCAAAGATAAACAGCCGGGGGAGGGTGCAGGGGCTGAAAAGCAAGAGTCCATGGAACAGCATTTTCAGAGAACTGAGACCTAGCTCTAGCAGCTCAGGAGAACAGCAGCCTCAGAACCATCGTGGCAAGTCCCTTCAGCCCTGAAGCTCTGTCAGGGGCAGAGCACCACTCCTCCTTGTGGAGCAGGCCATGGGCTGGGCCTTTCTCAGCATCCAGGGTAGGGGCCTCGTGCCCACTGGTGCCCCTGCACACCGTCACCCCTCCCCAGGCTCGGGGTCCTCGGCCTGCTCATGTCTGGGTGCTGGGTGCCTAACTAAGGAGCCCCTCAGAGTGCTGGTAGTCAAGGAAACTGGACTCACACCAGTCTGTCACCACCCGAAGCCTTCTATCCATTTACAAAAGCAAAAAACTAGGGCAGCTGCAAGGGCACCCTCAGAAAGACTGGACGGGAGGGTCTGCAAACCGCCACTAGGAAGGGATCACAGCATGAGGCCAGAGACTGGCTGGTGCCAGAGGTGTCACACTCACACCCTTTAAGAGGCCCAGTTCCAGGCAGAACTTTGCATTTTTGAGGATATTTTCACCAACCACTTCAAGTCCTGAGAAATACACTTCTGCTCTACTTACACAGAAACACAGAACTGCAGGGAAGACTCAGGAGCCTGCAATCCCAGGGCCAAGAAAATACAGACGGGAGGAAGGACCAACCTCTCTTCCAAACCTGGCTAGATAAAGGGGGGGAATTGCAAAGCACACAGACGCCTCCTCAGCGGGCAGAACGGCAGCTGCCTTGTATCAGTGGTCCCCGCGTCCTGAGGTAGGAAGAGGGACCCCGTGCAATCCCCATTCCACTGCTTTCTGTCCGAGTCTCTCCATCTCATCTTTGGAGGGGATAAAGGTATTCCCACTGTGCTTTATTTTAAGAGTCAGCTAACATTTTCTCTGTGCTGCCCCTTCCCCTTAAATCCAAACGGGTATAACAGTCCTGCCTTGCCAAATCTCAGAGCTGTTCTGAGGAATCTAAGATAACATTCTTGGAAGGGCTTTGTAAGTGTGAATGGGTAAAGGATTAATGCTACCCAGAGGCTCTGAGGGTAGATTAGCATAAATCCCCAGCCCCTCCTGGGAAACCCCCCAGACACTCCACTTGCTGAGAATGAGGAGCAGAGCCCCATCCACGTGTGCAGAGCACCGCAGGTGACTCGTGGGGAGGAGCAGGGCCGTGTGGAACCCTTTTTCATGCTCTCTGCTACCTACAACCACCTCCTGTCATCATCCCAGCACAGTGTCCTTCTTACACCAAGACAGCCACTCCCTTCTTCGTGGCCAGGTCCCAGGATGGCCTTTTCAGGGAAAGGAGGTGGAGTTAGGGAATAAGTACCTAAGAACTAGGATTTGATTCTCGCTTTTGACACCTATGGGTTGCATGAGCTTGGGCAAGTCACCTGACTTGTCTCAAAGTCAATTTCCTCACAAATCAAGTGGGCATAATTATTTCCTCCACCCCCCCCTCAATACTAACTGCACAAAAGTTCTGTGAGCTCAGAAGAATGTCCTTTGCCATTTGTTAATCACCGTCATTTGTTAAACATTTGCTAGTTTGCTAAGCACTGTCTACATCCAAGTTATTATTAGTAGCCATAATTAGATACTTTGGGGTGCTTGAAGTGAATTGCAACATATCCTTGTATAAAGCATCCATGTTCATGTAGGGTCAAAAGATGGGAACTGATGCAAATAAATCCATTACTCAGGATCCTTCTGTCCCAGGAAAAAGAACACAGTTTATGCTCTGGAATGGGGATCCTGCAATTAATACTACTATCTTACATTCACAAAACCATTCACTGTCTTCAAAACCCAAGATTACACAGGCAATAGATGGCAAGGCCTGGACGCAGCCCACCTCTCCAGCGTCCTGGCCTCAGGCTCCTCTACCCCACAGGTAAGTGGGGAGGATGCCAACATGGAACATTTGGGTTCCTCCCAAGAGCAGAGTGTATCACTCTTGCCACTCCTTCTTGTGAGACACAAATCAAAACTTGGCTCAGTCAGAGCCAATTTCAATTGCTGTGAAACCAATTCAAACAATACTGAAAGCAGACAGAAATGTGAGCTACTTCTAAATATATTTTCTTTTAAAAATCTTAGAAACTTAAAAACTTGGTAATTTATTCATGACTCAGTAAAAATAAAGTAGATTCAACAGAAAAAAAGTGGATGTAAATATACACACATCCCTATATATATGGATGTAGATGTATGTATGGGTTTGTATGTTTTGTTTTTAACTCAGTGTTGAATAAATTAAAGGTGTTTAGTTAGGTTTTTAATCAAGACTGTTTCTATCAAGAGTCCTATGTGATAAATTAAGAAACACCAAGGGGGGAAAATCCCATCCAGAAGGTAAAATTGGAACCCATAAATTCAGGCACCAAGTCAAAATTACCACTCATGGCTGAGGAAAGCACTGTGCCATCTCCTTCCACATGGCACTACCGCCCCACCCCCCTCCCCCGTGCCCAGGGCTCTCTGGCCCCTTACCTGACTCTCTCTTCATCCACCCTCTTCAAGGCAGCATCCCGCTGCAGGACCTTCATGATGGCCTCATGCTCTTGCTCTGTCAGGAAGCTTAAGTCGATCATTTTGAGAAACGCATGCAAAAATAATAGTAAAAATCTGACTTACAATTCTCAATGCAAAACAAGTATGATTGTAGCCCAGATGACTAAAAGATGCAAAACTGAAATGAAATATCTCGTTCAATTCTGCAGCAAAAGTCTTGTGCTGGCGCAACAAAAGTTTTAGGTGGCTGACAGCAAAACCCTGAGCGCCCTTTCCCAGGAGGAAGTGGTGGTCTGGCGAATGATGTGGAGAAGGTCTCAGAAGGATGTGGAATTCCTTGCCAGACAGGTCACTTGCTCCTCCGGAGTCATGCCTTCCCACACTCCCTCTCTGGACCAGTCTGAGAGTTTATTCTCCTTTCATCCTCGCCGACTCAGTGAGACACCACAGCAGCTGAGCATCGTCTACCTGGGAAACCATGAGACGGTAAACACCAGACAGTGAGAGGCAGTTCTGATAAGCATTGCTCATTATTACAAGATTGAAAACATGCCTGAGGGAAAAAAAATGTGCATGTGAGATGGTCTCTGAGATCAGGGGAACCAGTTCTGCCAGCTTCTTGAGCAAACTGCAAATGGGTCATGCTTCAACTCAATTCTAGACCGCCAAGCCAGAGAGCCCACAAAAATGCCTGTCAATGTTTAACGATCCGCTGAGGAAAGGGAGGGTCGCAAAAAGGAGCTGGTTCTCTCTCTGCAAACTCATGGGACACTCAGCTCAACAGTCACACTAAAGATCGGTAAGACCAAGGAAATGGGATTCCAGTTGTCAAGGTCAATATGGATAAGAAACTAGAAATAAAAATTCACACGTGCTCACTTCTGCATGAGTAGAACTGCTCCGCTGGAGTACCTCTGTGCTCTGTGTTGCCTGGAGAGCTAGCTACCAGGTACAGGCAGTCTGCACAAGAGCGGCAGTTACTATTCTTCCTCAGTCCCACCTCTAATCTTTGCTGGGCCTGGAGCAGCCTGCCTGCCAAGCTCGTCTCCCTTCATTTCTGAGAAAGAACACTGACTGGTGTGTGTATATAATCTGGGGAAGACGAAGAGGCAGAAGTTCAAAACACTCCATCGTGCAAAGTGAGAATTTTAAAGTAGGCCCCTGGGCAAGAATTCTTTGAGGCATCTTAAACCCAGGTGCAATTGGAAGGTGAGACCTGAAGAATGTCATGGCCACCGGGCTTCTGAGATCATCCGGCCCTTTAACAAGTTCAGTGCTGCGTATATAGTGGACACTAAAAACCAGGTGTTTAATAAATTTTAAAGCAGTCCCACTTAGAGTGTGCACACTAAGGAGTAATTTTTATGAAAAAATTCTTTGTTTTGGCAAAATAACTACTGGGAAGTACTCTTTCCACCACTTCCTTGCTATGAATCTTTAAGGCAAATCATCTCACACTCTGAAGCTTAGTTTTCTCATTTGTACATATTTGACAATAGGATGTCCCTCACGGGTTATGAGGATTAAATGAAATAATGAATATAAAACAGCACATATCTCATATCCTACACCAAAAATAGCTCCCAAAAGCATATTCTCACTTACTTTCTGAGTTCACACTTTTGTTCCATCCTGCTGAATAATAGTATACTTGGTTATATAATCTCCTTTTTTGTATTATGTTTCTATCTCTCCATGAATTACGGACTTCATGGACAGATACTCTGATGGCATTTATCTTCCTGTCACTCTTTGCATATTGCGCCCAGTGACTACACGAAGAAATATTAAGACAATAGTTCATTCTCTCTTTTTAATTTGCACAGACTTACACGTTACTTGCCTGCTTGTTTATCTTGACAACTACTCATCCTTCAAAATGAAAGTCACCACCCCTCCAGGAAGCCTTCCCTAACTTCCACAGACAGAGTCAAATGCTGTAGTAGATTGACTTCTTGCTCCTACCTCTTCACCCTCTCCCTGGAATGGAACTACACAGCCATGTTGCCTCTAGAGTAGGCAGAATATTCTTTTCCTGATGGGACGTTGATCAATGGAATGGTACAAACGTGATGCAAACATCGGCCATGGGTGTGCTTGTGTGGCTTGGCTGGCTTCTTGTACTCCTTCCACGTGCACAAGGAGAGCTGGCTCCAGGGAGCCACTGTCCCTTCTGGGTCCCAGAAAGAGAGATACAAGGGTGGACCACACTCCGACTCACCAAAAGTGACCTGTAGATATAGAAACAAGAAATATTTGTTGTTGGAAGTCCCTGAAGTTTGGGGTTGCCATGTAACACTTTCACAGCATAAACTTCCTCCTCCCTCCACAGACACACCTCCATAGCTGTACCTGTTCATCTGCCAGCAGTTTCTCCCATTTGTCTAAGCTTCTGAATGTGAATGAAGAGGTGAGTGAGTAAATGAATGAATAAACCTAATGCAAACGTAACAGCCATACCAGGGCACAGCTACCTCAATTCCTTCCTGTGCAGTTACTTCCTGAGCTCTCAAAGGCTGGCAAGGAAATGCATTCAGGCCCCTGGTGAGGCATTACACTGCCATGTGGTTCAAGGAGGGATTGTGTTTAAGTTCAAGGAGTGGGGGACAGGAAGAGCACAAAAGAGCAAAACAGCTGAAGGTGCCCAGCAGGGGAACTGGCAGGGTGGCTAAGGGGGAAACGCTCCCACACCTTCAAGTAGAAATACAAGCTACCCAGGGCTTCTGGGTAACAGCTTCTGAGAGTTCAAAGTTCTTCCTAAAAGGCAGTTAGTGAGACAAAGGACACTGGCACCTTTTTACAGACAAAGGAGTAAAGGGCTGGACCTCCCGACCCCCGGCTGGTCAGCCAGGAGGCGCTGCCCAGCCAGACGGCCCCTCAGAGGGCAACACGATTCTTCAGTCCCAGGGCACCCCCTCAACTCCCAATATTCTGGGTGTTATCTATTGTAGGAATTAATCTCACATTTCTGTCATTTATCCTCAACCTTTATTGACAGCTGGGCACCCTTGTAAGCCCTGGAGATAAGGCAATAAGAATAGGACAGAAAAACAAAATCTTCCTGTCCTCATGGAGCTTACACACTAGGTGGAGGAGACAATGACCAAACTAAATAATTTTAAAATGCCTTAAAAATAAGACTAAATAATTAAGTTATATAACCTGTGAGAAGGTGGTAAGAGCTCTGGAGGAAAACAGAGCCAAGCAGGGACGGGCATGAGGTCGGGGGAGCTGGAGTTTAAAAGAGAATGGCTGGGGTTGGTCTCATGAGAAGATGACATCTGAACAAAAATGTGACAGAGATGAAGAAACAAGCCACCCAGATGTCAGAGGGTCTTGAGGTGGCAGAGTGCCTGGCACGTTCAGGAAACACCAAGCTGGTCAGTGTGGGAACGCCAGAGTGTGCCAGGAGGAGGTCAGGCTGCAGCGACTCAGAAAGGAAATGGGGCAGACGGCGTGAGGCTTGTGAAGGCCGTCAGGTTCCTGGCATTTACCCTGAGATGGAGCAACATAGAGGAAAGGCAGGTAAAAAAGAGAAGGAAATAAATATTTACCGGGCTTCTCCTACATGGCAGGCACTTTACACATATCATCTCATGTGATCCTCACAAAGATCCAAGAGAGGTATTTTATTATCTGTGTTTTTCAAGTGAGGACAGTAAGGCCCGGGGAGGTGTTCGCCACCAAGTTTGTATGCAGGGGGTGGGCATTTGCCAGTGGCTTTTTCAGATTAAGCCACCCTCACGCTGGCATCTCATTTAGTCTGCCCCTCCACACAGATTCTTCAAACTGGAGAGGCAGAACAAAACCCTTCTGCCCAGTGTGGACCCTCATTCTCTGCAGAAGCATAAAAGACTCCCTGGCCCACAGCTGGAGGGCAGCACGGGGGCAAGGGGCAACCTCAGTACAAAACCTGGGAGGAGGAATTTTGGCAACAGGGCTTCCTTATGAGTTAGTTCACAGAAGGACTAACTCCTGGGGTGAGCAAAAAGTTCTCCTTAGGTCCGGCCTCCCTCCCACCCACCCTCAGCATGCCACTGAGTGACTATGGTAAAACTCAGACCTGACTAAGCCATAGTCACAGGCTTAAAACCCTTCATGGAGTGCCCACTGCCTGTTGGCTAATGCTCAAAGTCCTCAGCGTGGCCTGTGGGGCCTCCGGGAACCACTGCCTGCTTTCTTCCCCAAGCTCTTTCCTTTTCCTGAGACCCCAGCCACACTGAACTTCTTTGGGTTCCTGTTGCCTTCAGACCTTTCTTTGTATATGCTGTTCCTTTCTCCTGGAATACCTTTCCTCAGGTAACACCTCGTGGGTCTCAAGTTAGATGTCATTCATTGCACAAAAGCCCTCCCTCACCTGTCAAGGCCAGAGGTTAGGCATCCCTCTGATGTGCCCCAGGAGCACCTGGATCAGACCGAGAGCACTAGCATCCATCAAGATATTCATCACACCATCTCTAATCCCTGCCCACTCACGTTTGCCCTCCACCAGTTGGTGAGCTCGGCCTGGGCATCTGAGCCATTTGTTTCCCCAGCATCAGCCACTGTGCTTTGCATCTACAAGGCACCCGAGCGTTTAATACATGAACACAGCTGGAACGGGACTGAACTTCCACTTGTCCCTTAACATGAATTTGGCTCTAGGGCCCTTAGTGGAAAAGTCAGGTCCATATTATTCATTGAGTTCCGGGTCCTTCGCGTGACTGTGTGGTTTAAACACATCATACGACTTTCCCAAGTCTGTTTCCACATCTGTGATGGGTATATTTACTCCTGCCATCCTTTCTTTATGGAGACTGCCGTGAGGTTCCGGTGGGAATGTAGGACACTGTCAAGGACAAAGAAGGAACGAGCAGCAATGGGAGCAGCAGCACAGGAGGGAAGTCTGAGGGCTCCAAATGCACTGTGCTTAATTCAGATTCTCCATGTGGCAGCCCCTCCTAGCTGCCAATACGCTTCCCCCTGTCAGTCATCCAAAAACGGAGCTAAAGAGAGAAAGCAAGGCCCCGAACAACTGGTGCTTGCTTTAATCACAACAAAAAGGGGAGCTAGGCTTGTAGTCCTAACCCCAGTCACTCTGCCTGACCAAACTTGCGTTAAAGCCTGATTAGCAGCAGCATTTGTTCGCCCAACGTGCTCTGCTGCAGGCATGGGTCCAGATGGCACCTTTTCTTTCCCCAGATGGTGTTGTTGAACCAATGCCTGCAGACCCCAGGGAAGGGGCGGAAAACTCATAAGTAGTGACTCTCACATGCTGAGGTTTTCAGAAGAGAGGCGAGTTGTTCCAACAGTCCCATGACATCAAGAACGAAGGCCTGAAAGAAAAATCTGGAAGGCAGAAGGAGAGCAGAAACAAACATGCTGAGTCAGGGTGGGGTTAGGGAAAAGAGCTGTGGACAAAACAGCCCTGATCAATTCAGACGCTCACCCCCAGCGGTGACAAACCCTTGTGCATAAAACCAAATGCTCTGTAAATGTCCTAGATCATAGCAGCAGCAAAGGATGAACGGAGTCACCACAGATGGCTCAGGAGATGGACAGGGAGGAGCAAGGGGAGTAGGGCAGTCAGAGAACCAGCAGAGAGTTCCCCCAGCCTACCAAACTGGTGGCTATCAGACCACCAGGCCACACCGCCAGGACGTCCATGCCCAACGCTGCTAACGCCCCTGCTGGGCTGTTCTTCTTCTCAGGCTTAGTTTGCACTGTGGTTGAACTTGCCCTTTGCCTCCAATTTGCCTCCCTCAGCTCACTCTCCCTTTCACAGAACAAATAATGAAAAAGGAAGTCGCCTTTCAGGTTCTCCCTGAGTCCCCTGTGTTGGGAGGAAGATGACCTTCCTTCTTCCATCAGCTGTTTCTCACGTGATGTTTTCTAAGCCTGTCATGGTCTTGGTCATTTTTCTCTGGACTAAACAATGAGCAGGTGGTCTGAGTGCTTTTCACATCTGATCTCAGTGCATCAGTCTGCCCGCCCAGGGAGGAAGGTGTGAAGCACATCATGCAGACAGCACTGGGTTCGAGAAGTTACAGACCTTGTCTACGGTTGCTCAGCTAGAATGCGATATGAACCCAGGGCTGTAAGATCCTAAAGCCACTGTTTTTAATCTTTTACTACATCACCATCCCCCTTATTCTCAGAGAGGTCATGCAGCTAATAGGGACAAAGATGTGACTAGATTCCAGGCTTCCTGACTCCCAGCCCAGTTCTGTTTTCCCCCTATTCCTCCTTCTGTACATTCGACTTTCTCCTTTCTCATATCCTACGAGCAACATACATGGCCCTCAAAGCACGGCTTGCTCTTTTATGCACAACGTGTTAGGAATAGGAAAATGGCTAGGTGCTTGGGTTTGCTTTATGGATAGACATGGAAAAGAAGACAAGCATGGGACATAGGGAAAAAGACACTTGTGTCAACAAGCAGGTGTTTACAAATGCCCGTTACCATCCTAGAAGGGTAGAGATCCTGGGAACCAGAAACTAATCGTGGAAGAACCCACTTCATATGCTTAAACTCAATCAGAATGCTTTGTTACATATTTACATAGAGATGTGTTTATATGAAAAGCAAACTTTGTCCTCAAAACACTGTCAGGAAACAATGCTCATGAATATTGTCTTATTTCTGTGTGGTCAGGGCTTTGATTACCCTATTAAAAAACATGCCAGTTACTCAACTGAATGTGTTGCCCAAATTGGGCTTCTTGAGACTCTCAAAAACTGTAAGTTGAGTGAAGAAATAATGTGAACAAATGAACCTATGGAGAAGTGAATACATGAAAGTAAACAGATGCAATAAGAAAGAACAAGCTTGTTATCTACTAATAAATTTCTGTTTTATTTTTTTTGTAGAGGAACAACTGAAAAATCAAAACTGACAGGCACTTTCAAGATACAAAACTTCCATTTGTGCGAGGACCCTTCCAGAAGTGAAAGCCGTTTTCTTCCTTCATTCACCTCCCCCAGCTCCAGGCTGAGGCCGCAGAAGTTATGCTCGCCACAGGCTGACTTGCTTATCTCAGATGAAGAATGAAGGAGATGGGGAGTAGAAAGACTGCTTAGATGTGGCAGTCTCCCCTACCCCTGAGTCTCATTTTCAGATCTAATGATAGTGGCCCTGGATTTCTGAAGAGGTCACGTTCTGCCATGCCTAGGCAAGTTTAGACTTAACGGCAGCCATAGGAATCAAAGATTTCAAACAAGCTCCAATCAAGGAAAAGATAACGGGCCATGT